AAGAAATATCAGAAGGGAAAGGAAAGGTATGACAAGAAGAAGGTTCAATGTTACTGTTGTAAACAGTTTGGCCATTTTTCCAAAGATTGTAGAAACAGAGGAAAGAAATCAGAAGAAGCAAATATAGCCAAAGGAGATTCTGATGATGAACCTGTGTTACTGATGGCTTCTGATTCTGATAGAAAGTGTTCAGAAGATTGGTGGTATATGGACACTGGCTGTTCAAACTACTTGACTGAGAACAAATAATGGTTGATAAACTTTGACTCCAGAAGGAGAACAAAGATCAGATGTGTTGATGATAAGTATCTTAATGCAGAAGTATGGGAAATGTCAGGGTCAGAGTGAAGAATGGAAAAAATATTCTGATCAAAGATGTTTGGTATGTTCTTGGAATCAAAAGCAATCTGATGAGTGTGGGTCAGCTCATTGAAAAAGGGTTATCAGTTGTTATGAAGTACAACCTCTTGACATTATATGATTCTAATCAAAAGTTGATTATGAAGTCTGAGCAAGGAAGCAACAGAACATTCAAGGTGAATGTAGAAACAGCTGAAGCAGAGTGTCTTAGTGCAGAAGGCGCTGAAGGTGACAGTAAGTTGTGGCACAAGAGGTTGGGGCACTTGAACTATAGAAGCTTAGGAATCTAAGTTCTAAGAAGCTTGTACATGGAATTTTGAAGATTATGAAGCTTCATAAGTCATGTGAGATATGCATGAAAGGCAAACAACCCAGACTGCCATTTGCATCAGAAGTAGCACCCAGACGAATCATGTTTTGGGAGTAGTACATTCTGATGTGTGTGGATCATTTCCAGTATCTTCACTTGGAGGAAATAAATATTTTGTGTCTTTTATGGATGAGTTCACAAGAATGACATGGGTAACACTCATTAAGTTCAAACATGAAGTGTTTACTGAGTTCCAGAAGTTCAAGGTGAAGGCTGAGAAGCAGAGTGGTTAGAAGTTGAAGATTCTGAGAACGGAAGGTGGAGGTGAGTATAACTCTACAGAGTTCCAGAAATTTTGTGAGGAGAAAGGAATAAAATATGAGGTTGCTGCTCCATATACTCCTCAGCACAATGGTCTTGCTGAAAGAAGAAACATAACTTATCTTGATATGACCAGAAGTATGCTGAAAGAGAAGAAGCTACCTCACATGTTATGGGGAGAAGTTGTTGCCACATCAGCATATGTTCTGAATAAGTGTCCAACGAAGAAGTTGAAGGAAATTATTCCTTTAAAAAATGGACTAGAGATAAACAAAGTGTTAGCCATCTGAGGATCTTTGGTTCTGTATGCTACAAACACGTTCCAGAAGCTAAAATACATAAAATGGATGATAAAAGCAAAGTAATGTTACTGGTGGGGTACCACAGTACAGGTGCCTATAAGCTTTATTATCCAGAAACCAACAAAGTTGAAATCAGCAGAGACGTTATTATGAAAGAGTCAGAAACATGGGATTAGAACAAGCTTCAATCAGATTCTGGTGTAGCGCCAACACCAGAGTTAGTTTCTGAAGATTCTTCAGAATGTTCTGAAGACGAGTCAGATTCAGAAGATCAATCCGAAGACTCTGAAGATGAGTCAGAATCTCGGGAAGATTCTGATAGTGGATCTGATTCTGATCCAGAATCTGGTGGTGATTATATTTCTGGAAGGGAAAACTCTGAAGACATAGGGTATGAAGAACAAGCTTCCAAAAGTAACTCTGAAGGTGGTAATTTTGAAGGAAGTAGTTCTAGACAAGGTTCAGAAGCTAGCATTGTTTTGAGTTCTGGAGAAGCTTCAAAACAAGTTCAGAGGCCACAGAGAATCAGACAAATACCAAGTAAGGTTGCAGATTTTAGCATGTTGCATGATAATGAAGTAGATTCTGAAAGAGAAGTCGTTCAGTGTGTCATGTTAGTAGATTTTGAACCAGTGGGGTATTGAAGAAGATCTCAAGAAGAAAGTATGGTTGAATGCCATGAAGGAAGAATTTGAGGCTATTGAAAGAAACAAAATTTGGAAGTTGATAAAGCTTCCAGAAAAGAAGAAAGTCGTTAGCGTCAGATGGGTTTTCAAGGTGAAGCTTAAGCCAGATGGATCAATTGGTAAACATAAAGCGAGACTAGTAGCTAAAGACTTTCTTCAGAAACCTGGGCTAGATTACTTTGAGGTGTTTGCACCTGTAGCTAGATACAAAACAATCAGACCGGTGATTATTTTAGCTGCAAACAGAAATTGACCTTTGATACATCTGGATGTGAATTCTGCATTTCTGAATGGTCTGTTACAAGAAGAAGTATATGTGTCACAACCTCCTGGATTTGTGAAAAAGAATCAGAAAGGGATGGTATACAAGTTACGTAAAGTCTTGTATGGACTGAAACAAGTGCCCAGAGCTTGGAATCTAAAAATTGATTTGTTTTTCAAGAGGCAGAAGTTTCAGAAATGTGAGATGGAATATGGCGTGTATGTGCAGCATTCTGGTGGCAATATGACTCTAGTGTGTCTATATGTTGATGACATATTGTTAACAGGAAGTTATCCAGAAGATATAATCAAGTTCAAATAAGTTCTGATGAATGAGTTTGAGATCACAGATCTGAGAAATATGGTATATTTTCTAGGAATGAAGATTTTGTACTCAAAGAAGGGTATCATTATACATCAGCTGAAGTATGAACTTGAACTTTTGAAGAGATTTAAGTTGCAGAATTGCAAAGTTGTTGTGACACCATCAGAAACCAATCATAAATTGGATTCTGATTCTGATGGTGATTTTGTGGATGCTACGACCTTCAAGCAGTTGGTTGGTTCTCTCAGGTACTTGTGCAATACCAAATCTGATATTTTCTATGCAATTGGATTGATTAGCAGATTCATGAGTAAACCAAAGTGGTCTCATTACCAAGCTATGGTCAGAATTCTGAGGTATATCAAAGAAACTCTGAAATATGGAGTACTATTTCCTTATGGAAGAAAGACAGAATCAGAATTAGTAAGTTATTCTGATTTTGACTGGTGTGGAGACAGAGTTGACAGAATAAGCACTTCTGGTTACTTGTTCAAGTTTCTGGGAGGTCCAATTTCTTGGAGTTTCAAGAAACATCTTGTTGTGGCTCTATCAACGTGTGAAGTTGAATACATTGCAGGTGTTGTAGCTGCATGTCAAGCTGTTTGGCTTCTGAATCTTCTGGAGGATTTGAAGATTGAGATAGAGAAACCTCTGAAGCTGTTGATTGATAACAAGTCTGCAACCAATCTTGCCAAGAATCTAGTGCTGCATGGAAGAAGCAAGCATATTAAGACGAAGTATCATTTTCTGAGAAGTCAAGTGCAGAAAAGAGTGTTAGAAGTTCTACACTGTAGCACTCATAAGCAGCTGACGAATGTTCCAACGAAGGTAATAAAAACAGATCAATTTCTTCATTTGAGAAATAAAATTGGTGTTGTTAATGTCTGATAGTTACTAAATTATGGGATGGTATTAAAGGGTAATTTAGTATTTGATATTTTTGGTTATTCTCTTTTGGGCCTATGTGGCATTCTTATCTTTACTATTTTTGTGTATAAATAGGTGTACTAGATTTCATTTAATACAACAATTCATTTTGTCAATCATTTGTAACAGCTTTTAGCATTTATCATTTTTCTCTCTTCTTCCTCAATTTCATCACGTTACACCAACAAACTAACTCAAATATTTTGCATGAAAACCAGCATAAGATGGATTTACAAACAATCAATTATAATTTTTTATTAATTAAAAAACAAAAATGAAATTTTCTCTCTCCTACTTTATCGCAACCACCCACAAGAATTTAATTATAAATAAATAAATTTTAATTTTATAGACTCTTTTCTTATTAAATGTTTCTAACAATATAGATTATGCAAGAAGGCTTAAAGTGAATTTCTTTTGGCAAATTATTAATATATATTTACGGACTAGAATTTTAAATCTCAAATCCTTTTAATCTTAAAGCCGAAATTTGATTTAATAAATTTCTAAAAATGATGTTTAATTAAAAATTAAACCAACTTTTTAAATTCTACTCTCGTGTATGGACATATAGATACGTGTAAGAATGCAAGAGGGTTTTACCAACCCTTGGGATATTTATAGCTGTATAGATATGTTCATATGGGTGCAAGAGGGTTTTACCAACCCTAAGGTTTGGGATACTTATAGCATGATCCATGGGTCAAACTACTGTGATGAAGAACCGACTCCAACCCAGCAACTTGGGTGAAAACATGGGGACTGTTTGTCTTTTATTATACTGTAAGATTTAAAAGTTCTACGGATATTAATAAAATGTATGTAACAATAAATTTGTAAAAGAGTGTGTCCTTTATACACAACTACCTTTACAATGTAATTAATAATACAATAAGAGAGAAAAAAAATACATGTTTGTATTTCCCAAATATAAACATGTTTTTATTTTAATTTTGTGAAAACTTCCTAATCAAAAATTTAATTGAAATATTGTTTGAATGTTTAATACGAAAATTAAATTTTACATTGAGAGATAGAGTTATTAAACAAAGACAAATTTAATCCAAAATTCTTGGTTTAAACTGTTTTTTCATATAGATGCTAGGTTTTTTTCTTTTTGGATTGATTTCTTTTATGTTGTATTATATTTGCGCATTAACCTTTAAATTATACTCCTCTTGCTCTGTTGTCATTTATATTATAGATTTCATAACAATGTTTACCATAATTTTTATTCCACATAAACAAATCATTGGTTTGGATTAGTGAATTCAAACCATACTCATCAGTGAATGCGGAAAATAGGTATTCTAGTTATCTCAATATTAAAATGTATTTTTAAACAAAAAAACAAAAACAATATTAAATGTCACATTCTGATAGTGCAAATATAATGCAACATATGTGATCAATTTAAAAAGGAAAAAAATCTTAAAGATCCATTCAAAAAAATGGTCAAAACTTAAAGTACCAACCCGAAAAAATGGTTATAAATATTGAGGCGTAGTTTAGCCTAAAATAAAATACTTTAGTCTGGTAAGAACAGCAGCCATAGATAACTTCCAAAGAAGTAGTCCAGCGACTCGCTCTGCTCTGGGCATGCTCATTTCCTTGTTGCAATTTTGCCCAAGATGACAATCATCCCAGTAGTACAAGATAGAAAGAATTAAAAAATAGAGATGACAAATAACATTAAAAAGAATAGAGGAAACAAAGAAACCCCAAACAGCCTCATGGATTATGAACAAAATGAATGCAGTGTAACCTTTGGGACAAAAAGCCTTGTTCGACCAATTTAATACCAGCTTCTGAAGCAGTCTCTTATATTTTGCATGCACACTTGTAAACATACTCACAGATATAGAAAAAGATAAAGAGAGGTTAATTTGCTGTTTCACCAGCAGGTCCAGCTCGGGCAGTCAACAAAGGTTGAAGAGCTTTGACTACAATGCTCATGTTAGGTCTGAAATCAGCTTCATATTGCACACACAATGCAGCAACAGCAGCCATCTGTGATCAACCAGGCATCAAGGTGTTATAACAGATCATTATTCTTAATTAAGTCAATAACTGGGTGTGGTTCCTATAAAGGTTCCCACAAAAAATACTAAAAGACAGTAAACACCTTAGCAACTGCTTTTGGTGGGTACTCTCCTCCTAGTCTTGTATCAACACACTGCCTGACTTTATCCTCGCTGAGTTTTGGTGTAGCCTGAAACACACATCAATTGAGATCAGCAACGATTTAGAGTGGACAGTAGATAACAATAGAGAAGCTTGGGTTCAGTTTCTTTATTCTTTTGTTGGAAAATGGAAGGAGGGTGTAAAGATATAGCATAAACTTGTACCCAGGTAACCAGACTCTGCTGTCCACGTGGTTGTGTATGATCAACAGGTTTCCTTCCGGTCAAAAGTTCCAGAAGGACAACACCAAAACTGTATACATCACTCTTAGCATTCAATTGTCCAGTCATTGCATATCTGCATCCACAAGATTAGGTATAATGTTTAGTAGTTGAAGCTTGGACACTAACTATAAAAGACAGTTTTCTCAAATTTTCTCAAATTGATACTAAGATATAGAAACACAAAACATAGGAATTAGTCATGCATATACAGTTAACTGTGGAATAAAGGACATTTTAATTTTATATGGCTTTTCCAATAATTCTTCAGCATTCACACTAAAAAAGTGGTCAATCACATCCAATAAGGATAAAAAGAAGTATGTGATCTGATATGTAACTTGAAATCTTACTCAGGTGCATGATAACCAAAGGTTCCAAGGACACGAGTGGAATGAAGACGTGCAGCCATGTCTGGAGCCTGATTTGACAAATCAAAATCTGCAATTTTTGCAACATCATCTTCAAAGATTAGCACATTGCTTGACTTGATGTCCCTATGAATAATATGGGGATCAGCCTTCTCATGCAAGTATTCAAGCCCTCTTGCAGCCCCTACAGCAATTTTTACTCTTTGTGCCCATGTCAAAACTGGACCAGGTTGTGCTCCTTTAACCCCTTTTCTGCCTACAAGTAAAAAAACAAAGATGAATACATTATACAATACAAATACAAACTAAACTAATAGATATCTCAACGAGGGGGATTCATTGCCTGTCAAGGCATAAAAAACAAAACAAAAACTGATGTTAAAATCCATAATCTTCAGAGTTCCTCTGAAGTAGAAAAAAAATTCAACCACCGGTTATCTACATAGATACTTTTCAAACTGGACCAATTGAAAGAGAAAATCATATACCATGTAGAATGTCATGAAGAGAACCATTAGATGCAAACTCATAAGCAAGAATACGGGAGTTTCCATCAACACAGTATCCAAGCAACTGGACAAAATTATCGTGTTTCAGCCTTGATACCATAGAAACCTGAAAGTTCAGAAAACCACAAGGTGTTTGTAGGGGAATAACTTCAATAACCTAACAAAAAATACTGAGCCAAGGTTGTAGCACATATACCTGGGCCAAGAATTCCTCATCAGGCTGTTTACTGGCATCTAACTTCTTGATTGCTGCAGCCTGGCCATTCTTAAGAACTCCATAGTAAACTCTTCCATACGATCCCTCTCCAATCAGAGAATCTTGTCCAAAGTTATCAGTAACTTCTTTTAGTTCATCGGCCTGTATCTCTGGAACTTCAATGGGCTGCACTTTAACAGTCTGAGCTCCTGGTTTTGTAGACTCAGAAGCATGGTAATTTCCATCATTCCCTGATGCAACCCTCTAACTTATGAGTAATATAATCAAACAAATTAACAAAGTGAAGTATTGTAAGCAACATCCAACTTATATATTATGAGTCCAAATGCATGAATTTTTTTGAGTTGGAAATTATATATATCATCCCTGATGCGACCCTCTAACTTATGAGTCAAATTACCTGCTGGATTTTTTACAATATATGGTCCGCCACTCTCAGCAACCTTGTGGAACTCATCCTCTTGGCAACAGCTGAAACAACTCATGATTCTTTCCTAGTAAAATTAATTCATAAGCCTGTCAGATCATACTAATAATAATAAAAATACTAATAATAATAAAAATAATAATAATAATAATAATAATAATAATAATAATAATGATAATAATAATAATAATAATGATAATAATAATAATAATAATAATAATAATAATAATAATAATAATAATAATAATAATAATAATAATAATAATAATAGTTCATTTTTAAGCTCGAAAATATAGTCCATTAAAAAAAATAACACTTCCATGTAGATTCTCATTGCAAGATAGTAGATACATCCTAATGATCTTCCAACTTCGAACAATTGAAATAAAAAGAAATACAGAACCAAATATTGCATTCGTATGAATTTTCAGTCCAATTGCATCAAATTCTATTATTATTAAGTCTCAAGTCAACTTAGCTTCATTTCATTAGCATGGTACGAAAAATTGATCAACAAGATGCTTCCACTCAATTGATTTATATATTAGCTAAAATTCGCAACAATTACCTACCTCTCAGAAATCAATGCCATGAAAAACAAAAAATTATGTGTTATTCTAAATTATTTGCATAATATCATCATCATCCTTGAACGACAACTACCGCAATTCTCATTAAAATTTTACAGAGTGATATTAACGTAAGGTTCGGTTAAAATTTTGATAAAAACTCAACGCTTCAGTCACATAACTCAAATCGAGTGAAGCTTACGAAACCAGATCGAATCAGTTACCGCCAATCAGACAAAATCCAATCAAAATTCAAGCCAGTAGCTACAGATCGGTCTAAAGCAAAATCAAAATTAAAAAAAAATGTTCATCCGTGAATCAAATCACGAAAGAACAAACTCGATGAATTCGATAACGATACTGAACACAATTACATGTAGATTTTCAATTGCGAGAGTAAATAGTAAAGTAGGTGAGAATGAAGATTGTGATAGATCGATGAATATGTTCGTTACCTGAAACGAAACAGAAGAGTGAAATTGTTGAGATGGGAGTGTTGAAGCGGAAGGAGAAGATGCGTATTGTTGAGTATTTGAGTCGATGAAACGGTGAAGGAGCGCAGGATAAGCAGGGAGGGTGCGTAGAATAAAGGTGAGGGCGAGGTACAGCAAAGCTTTTGACTCGCTTTGAGTTGGAATAAGAACTTTGATTATTATTGTGATATCTAATTGTGTTAAGTAGTGTACGAATACGATACAGTGGATTTTTATTACAGTAATTAAATACGTATGACACTTTTTTCCCTTCTTTTACGTGTTTTGCACCGAGTTTGGCTGGCCAGACTTGACCTTTGTGAGACTACACGGTTACACCGATTTACTATTCTTTTGGTAAAATTGTCGGTAAATGTAAGAGATTTAACTTTTATATGTTTATGGAATAAATTTATTTTTATAAATGTGTTTGAATTGAATAATTAATTATCCTATGCGCTTAACTGGGAAAGAAATTGTAATTGACGGCAATAGTCTCCTTCAAAAGATTTAGCATGTTTGATTATTTGAGTTTTTTTTATAAGGAACTCATATTTAAGAGTATTAAAGATACTCTAATTTAGGGGTGACAAAACAGGTTCGGTCTGTTGGGCATGTTCGTTTTATTTATATTTTAATGTGAGATTGATTAAGAACTTGGGTCATCACCCTCTAATGTGATTGTTTCGCTCCGTCCTGTTTTTTCGTGGGTTTTTGCGGGCATGATTATTTGTATAAAATTTTACATTTTTAGGTCTAAAAGGTGCATTGCCTGCGGGCTTTCCCCGCCCTTCACTCACTTTTTTGCAGGGCGGACCTAGGTTTTAGGCCTTCATCCTCAACTATGTCCGCTCCGCTCTATTTTTTTACGGATTTTTGCAAGGCAGACTTTAACGGATCGGACATGCCCGTTTGCCATCCCTACTCTAACCCGAATATAAAAGAAAAAACATCCATCAAAGTAATAAATATATTTTAGATAATCTAGTGGACGAATACACCATTTATAAAAATTACAATTTATTCTAAGTTTTGATCTGATTGTAAACCACCACCAATACATCTTAATTTTGAATACTATTTTGTCCACATCACATACACCATCCCTAAACATTTTATCATTTCTTGAGTTCCATAAACACCAAGATACCGCCAACCATATAACTTGTTGTTTGTTTTTCAAAAAATTCCCTTTCAATGCTGTTGTTGAATTCAAAAAGCTAGAGCAGCAGTCATCACCATGCAAATGTACCACTTGGATCCATGCTTGGATTTTTTGCCAAACCATTCTAGCAGTTCTACAATTTACCATCAGATGATTCAAATCTTCATCTTGTTTAAAGTAAAATGCACATACCATTTCATGAGGATTCTAGATTATTCCCTTGCATACTAATTGGCTTCTTCTAGGCAACATATCGTGCAACACTCACCACCCAAAAACTTTGACTTGGACGAAATTTTTGCCAGCCACAACAACGACAATGCTTGCTACATCTGAGAATTATGAGACCTTACATCTTTTACCTGCAAAAATTGTTTGTAACATAAACTAACAGTGAATATTTTGTAGCTAGCATAAGGCCTCACAACACAATCTGCAAGATTCTCGAGCGACAATATATTCATCAACACATCAGACAATTATGTAGCAGTTGTGCATAGATCTTCCCCCACCACATAACTGCTCTATTGTATCGATCAGATCCACCTTCCAGCATTTCAGCTCCCTTGATCTGCAACGCTACTCTTTTTGTTAGTCTCAATCGAATATAGTTCAGGATATTGGATGGATAATGAGGACTGTCCCATCCATCGAACATTCCAAAATGGGATAGGATGCCCCTACCGAGTCTAAATGTGAAAAATTACATAATTCCACTTGAAGACTTATCTTATTTTAAGCTGATCAAATCTCACCACCACAACGATTCTTTGGATTTCTTTCTCCTTGCATTGTTAAACCACCAACACTTGTTTAGATCACCAGATTTTACTTGTAACACTCCCACCCAAATTGCATCATCTTCTTCCAAGTATCTTCACACCCATTTGCATAACAGGGCTTTATTAAAAGTTGTCACCTCCTTTATGCCAAGACCACCTTCCAACTTCGGTTTACAAACAGACTTCCAACTAATCTAAAATCTTATGGTACAGGCAACACATGTTAATACTTATATCCCAACATCAGAATAATATCATGATAGATGTTACAACATCCATTTTGACATACTGAACAAATTTATTAAGATGTTAGTGATGAAGGGGTAAGAAAATACTTAGAAGGGGGGGGGGGGGGGGGGGGGGGTTGAATAAGTGATTCTTTTCGATTTCAATACAAAGCTCAAAACAATAATGGAATAACACAGTTATTTTTATCCTGGTTCGTTTGAACTCAAACTACTCCAGTCCACCCGCCAAGGTGATTTCGCCTTTCTCAACAAGGACTATCCACTATAATCAACTGATTACAATCACACAACAACTGTTGTAACTAACAATACACAAGTAATCTTACAAGTGACTAACACCACTAAGACTTAAATCTAGTCCTAGTATGCTTGAGAAATTTGACCAAACTTGGTCTCTCAAGGAACAAATATAGGAGTATAATCTTTACAGATAATTGAAATAGAGTTTGCTTCTAATCAAGCTATATCACAACTGTGATTTTTCACTTAGAATATATTACACAAAATTGTATGAACTATGAGTTTGTGAGCTTTTGGATTTTTCACGTAGTTTCTTGTTTGAACGTTGTTGTTAGCTTGCAATAAATGTCCTTCTACTTATAGTAGGAATAGTAAGACCATTGCTGCCTTCAGAGGAAATAGATAGCATTAAATGCTTTGCGTGTATCCTTGCAATATTCCATTTTCCAAGAAACTAGTTGTAGGCACTTGAGTGCTTTCAGCCGTCTTTGCATTAATTAGCAAACGTCGGAATGTAAGAACGTGTTTCCTTTGCTTTGACAAGACAAGTTGATTTAGACGTTGTTTCAGAATTTGCTTCCAAATGTCTTTAAGTCAGAACATGCTTCATTCAACTTATGGGCAGAGCCTTGCTTGCTAAGAACTTTGAACAGTGCTTGCTTTCAAGTTATATTCTGAATCAAGGAGCCTGCTAGAAGTTAGAAGATACATTTAAAAAGTAAAGGTTCTTACCAGAGTCAGCAGATGCGTTTAAATAAAAGGTTCTTTTATTAAAGAACTTCTTCATAATCTTTGCTTAGTACTTTAGAATGTTTTCTGTCAGAACATTAACTAAGACATTCATAACACATTCATTAGAGTATAAATTATCTTAAATATAATTTAATTATCATCAAAACTCTTGAGATAGGTCAGAACTGATCTTGTTCTTTCAATCTCCCCCTTTTTGATGATGACAAAAAATTATTTTAGATAAAGAAAAGAAACAGATTAAGAGATAAGAATCTCCCCCTGAAATGAATATTTCTATGCATAAGACATTCTGAGATTATTTAGTCAGTGTGATACACAGCTGTTGTACCCCAAAATTTGCCCTTTTCTTTTTCACAAGAAATCATAGCTTCGGGCTTTTCCTGATTTTTCAGATTGGCTCAAGAATCGGTCAAACAGACTTTTCTTATCAGTCAAACAAAATTAGGGTTTCCATTGACTTTGAATCAATTCAAGCAGATTATTATGGTTTGGTTGAGTTTGGCTCAGGGTTTGGTCAGGCGGACGCTTCTTTGACAATAAATCCACAATTAGGTTTGCACGCGCATTCTCAAAAAGAATTGGAATCCACAACATTTCATTTAACTGTCACATGGTTTTGACGCTTGTTCAAGATTCCTGTTTGTTTCTCAAAGTCTAAACATATGGGATAGAAGCTGAGGCTTCTGATTGAAAGTTTGAAGTGTTGGTTTAATCAGTAAAGTGAAAGGTGTATGGACGTTTGTTTGTTTAACTGTGCAATGCTTTTGGTTATTTGGAACGCCGGACGTTTGTTGATTATTTATAATTTCTAAGTTACAATTATTGGGATAACTTCCAATTATTATAATTCAAGAAATTTAAGTAATTAAATAAACAAGTGCAGAAGAATTAAAAGAGATATCTGACAAAAAAAGGTTTTTATTCATTTTCAATTGTTGTTACAAATGTTTATTTGATACAGTAAATTTATTTACAGTGTTACAATGACGTTTATTACAATGATTAAAAATAAATTAAATCTATATCCTAAGTTGCTTGAAGTCTTCATCTTCTACTGCTGCTTCCCTTGCCCCAATTAATATTCACCTGCAAAGCCCGAAAAAGAGAAGTCAAACACAGATGAATTTGGAAAAGTATTTTTCAGACAGTTAATCAAAAAACTCATCATTAAAGGTGTTGGCCGGAATCAGTTTGTTCGTCCTCTCTGCAAATCGCAAGAAGATTCTCTTCTTGGTTCACAAAGAGGAAAGCAAAATTGTTTGCAAGCATATGAATTAATACAAGGCAGCATATTAAGCAAAATGCACAAAGATGCACAAATTCAAACAAGCTGCACATGTGCAAACTGAAAAATACCAAACAGCCAAGTTACAGTTTCAAACTAAGCAAACTAAATCACAAATTCAAAACTGTCCAAGGAAGCTGTCAAAGAAGATACCAAAAGATATCAAAGCTATCAAAAACTGTCAACAAGTACACAAAAAGCAAATGCAGAAAATCTGGAGGATATGCAGAGGAAAACCAAAGAAGCAAGCATTTCTTTTTCATCATTTTCCAACCAACACCTTTTCAGAAAAAGTACAGTTAAAGCAATAAAATATGCTTTTTCTGTGGAGAGAGAAAGAGAGAGAGAAGTAGAGGCTTACAGTTTTGCAGGCTTAAGGCAAATAAATATAACAAAGATCTCAGTTCAGAAGGGGGGGCAGAACACATAGAAAAATATACCACCAACTTTAAACACACAACAAGCCTGTAACCTCCAAGCCTGCTTTCAAGCAAGCAAACCAAGCTTGCCTGCATAAGCTACAACCAGAAGCAAACCTGCATAAAACCTCCAGCCTGCTTCAAGCCTGCTTCAAGCAAGCAAATTTGCAAGCCTGCCTTTAGCCCTGTCAAAAACATACAAAAACCAAGCAACCTGCATATCAAACTAATAAGCCTTCCAGCCTGCTCCAAACCACCTCAGGCTTGCCTTAAACATGTCAAAGCTGTCAGTTTCTAACAGAACCAGTTACCAAACTTCAACAAAGCCTGCTTCAGCCTGCCTTCAGGCAAGCAAACAAAAGCTTGCCTCAAACCTGTTTCAGACTGCCTAAAAAACCTATCAAACACATAACAGAAGCAAGCCTATCAAAGCCTGCCTCAAACAAGCAAGCAAACTGATAAGCCTTTCAAGCCTGCCTCAAGCTTAGAAACCTGTTTCAATACCAAGCAAACAAAACTCCAACAAGCCTGTCAAAGCCTAAACCCCAACAAGCCTGTCAAAACCTGTATCCCAAACAAGCCTCAAAATTGCCCTCAATCCAAACCAAATAAAAACAAATCCAAATACCCTCAGAATCAAATTCATCACAGGGTCAAACACATCCAAACATCCAAACCACAATGACAGGCGCCTCAGAACTAGGTTCATCATAGGCAATCCAAAACTCAGCACCAAACATCATCAAATACATATCAAAAACATCTCAGAAATCATCATCATTGAGAATCAAAATCCAAAGAGAGGAAGAAGCCAGAAGTAAAAACAACAACAAGGCAAGCAATCAGAAGAAGAAAAGAAGATCCAGAAACGGATGTCCTAGGGTTCTCATAAGCATTTTCATCATAAAACATACAAGGCTAAAAATACGAAGTACCAGACAAGTCAGCAAGCTCCTGTCATCACATCTTCCCCACGCCTTGGCCACCTGAGAAGCGCCACCGTCCAAACCCTCTGTCTCCTCTCCCAAAGCAAAAACCTCAAGGTATCGTTCTCCTCCTTCCTTTCTCTACAGTCTCATATCATAAAACACAAAATAACACAGAAGATCAAAACGTGTCCAAGATTAAATAACATGCAAGAGATAAGAATCTGAAAATCCTAAAAAACGCATCGTCACCTTTTTTTATCACCGCCTGAGCAACCATGAGGAGGAGGAGTTGGAGGCATCGCGTCTGGTGGCCTAAGGCGATTGGAAGAGATCATCAGAAGCTCACGTTCGAGAGCGAGGAAGAGATGAAGAAGATAGGGAGCGGCGCCGTTCGTGAACAAACCCTTTTTCTGAACAAACCAAATGAACCCTAACAACAAAAATTGTTAAAGACCCACTGGGCCTGTCCCTTGAACAAATGCCTAAGCCCATTCAATCCTGGCGTACACCCCCTTTTCTTTTTTTTAATCCGTTTTTGTTGTTATTTGGGCCCAGCATGATCTTCCAAGCCCACTCTTTTTTATATACAAACTAATACTCTTTTTTTTATCACTTTATTTTCCTTTTTTATATATAACTTAAACTAATATTTTTGTTAATTAAAAATAATACATTAACTTTTTTTTTTACAAAATTTTCTTAAATGCTTTTTTTTATTATTTTAGAACAATTAAAAATACATAAATCTTAGGTTATTAAGTTTAAATAATTTTCTTGTGTTTAAAACCTTTTTTTTGTTTAATTAGATCTTGTATATAAAACATTTCACAAAAATATGTAAATAATAGATTTTTTTGTCTTAAAACTTTTTTTGTTTAATAAATCTTTTTATATATAAAAACATTAACTAAAATACCTAAATAATAGTTTTCTTTAACTTAAACATTTTTCTTTTCTTTTCTTTAAATTTTTTGTTTGTATAGTTAACAAAAACACAAAAAT